CGCAAGCAGGGCGCAAGCAGGGCGCAAGCAGGGCGCAAGCAGGGCGCAAGCAGGGCGCAAGCAGGGTGCAGGCATGCCAGGCAAAGCAACAAACCATCTTTGGATTGAAGGAATGGCTTGCCTGTGGTGACAAGGTGCCGAGGAGGGGCCTCCAAGCAGCACGGGGTTCACAGGATTCCTGAGCGAATGTCACGCAGGAAGGACCAACATCCACCGAGCAGTGCCTTGTCCGAGCCAAGGAGGGCACCGGTCGAAGCGCAAGGTATGGCAGAGGCAATAACTGTGCAAACGCACCTTCAGCAAGTCCATCCAATCCGAATCATTCCATGCCTCCAGGCAGTTCACATTGAGTTGGGCCAAAAACCAGCAAAGGCACGATACAAAACAGCCGAGCTGAGCTGCTGGGCCTTCACAATGGCATAACCAAGGAGCCTTCGACAGAACCAGGAGAAGTTGGACTGCAAGGCTCCGCCAGATCAAGAAACTTCGCGGATAGGCGGCCCAGGGACCCAGGGATGAGACCGTTATACAAGGAGGTTTTGGGTGGTCAGGAGGCGGCAGATATAATACATATAAGTTTGATTGGATAGTAGACACTGACCAACGCATAAAGAAGCAATTAGCGGAGGCTATCCAGTGTATACTACCATTGCAGCATTGATGTTCACTAGCCGCACCTTGCCCATGAAACGACTCGCTCGTGCATGTTGGCTGAAAAAAGCAAATGATCGAACAAAACCAACAGGTACCAAGTAAAATCAATGGGTCGCTTCCGGAGTCTTCTTCAACAGGTACCTTCGGTTTGTTGCCTTCGTGCCCGGCAAAGGAAAACCCCGACAGCCTGTGCATTGAATGAGCCACCGACCTGGCTCAGCATTCACAGAAGACTGACAATGAACCTCGAAGAGTGAGTGTTGTGAATTTGATGTGTCTTGTGAGATGCTTTGACATATCCATGTGCAACCAGAGAATATTGAGGGAAAACTACAGGGAAACGCGCGTGCATAGAGTGTCGAGGCAAGTTGGGGACGGACGGACAAAGTGTCAATAGATGTTGCAAAAATGTCGAGTAAGGCCCAGTACATGGCCGTTCTTGGGGGAATCCATGAGGTTCTTCTGCGACATAAATCTCTTCTGTTTGGGTCAACATCAAGAGCCAGTGTCCCATCAAGAGCGCCCAAGCCTCAGGAGGTGGCATGCTCTGGCCACCCATTGGAAGAAAGTCTGGATTGGTGATGCTATTCCTGGAGGCTCTGGCCATGGCTCAATCAACACAAGAAGCCGCGAACCAGCCCGCAATTTGGCAATGTGATACTCAAAGAAACTAATGTGCTGATCCTTCCGCCCCGTTTCCTGAAGGCTCATTCATCAGGTACTTGTTGGAAGTTGAAGAGACACAAACAACAGCCCTGAAAAAAAACATTGAACATAACATCAAAGTGTACAACATAAGGTAAACATAATATTGAACAACATACATAACTTACATAACCCTGAAGCAATACTGATAGAACAAATCCGTGGCGGACTCTGACCCATCCGTGCCTGAGAGAGGCCATGGTGTGCTCTTGCCGCTGGCCATGATCCAGTGGAAGAAACTCTGACCTGAAAACGGTGGAACAGGTGTTCTGCCATACATGTTCTGCCATACTGGCTGGCAGAACATCGTTCTCTTTCTGTTTGTTTATTTGTGTCCTTCCGTTGTAGATGACAGTCTCATCCGACTAGTCCTGTGTAAAGCCACTGGTTCTTGTCTGCTTGCCACAACATACAATGTTCAAACTGATGTAGGTTTGATTAGCTCTAGGGTAGCTCTAGGGTCAGATGAGATAGCATTAATGTGCTAATTTTACAAATCCCATCCCATTTCAGCTCTAGACTGGCCCGACACGAGGCCCCATCGACTCTGGTGGTTCAGGCAAAAGTTCCAAGGTCCGTGCGACAGAAAGCGCCAAAAGGAAGTTCCGCTACTGAAAAGGAAACAGTTCGTTTTAAGATGTGCCTGAACCCTTTGCAAGCTCTCAGGACGTTGCAACATACCATGTGTTATCATTTGATATCATGTGCTCTCTTGGTTCTATCGGCGCTTCAGGGCCCTGGCTGCGACATGAATGGATTTCTGCCATAGAGGTCCTCTGCAGGCGCAGTCGGATGAAGCAGCATCCTTGTTACTAGTAAGGCCAGGAGGTGTTTTCCCTCTATTTTGACCCGTGGGGGGGGGGGGTAGGCCGCGGAGGTCGGGAGAGGTGGCTACTGTAGGCCGCTGCAAGGGGTCCTACTGACAGGACGCAGGATAGCTCGCGCTTCTTCAAGGAACCCAGGGCGATTGAAGAAGCGCTCGCATATGGAAAACTTAAGGTATGGGGGAGCGCATTTGGTACCAGCACATCATGGCGAAGTGCCATTCAGGTCAGCTGCGGTGATGAAGCGGCTGTTTGTCTATTGGCATTCCCTTTTCTTGGCCTTCATCCACATTCGGCACATACAGTGCCCAAATGCTCACAACCGTGTGCGCTGCGGGAAGTGCTCTCAGAATACTGACATTCAAAAACGTATTTGCTTGCTTGCCTCTATGCGACCAAAATCCTACAACATAAAAAGGTCAAAGCACAGAAAGCCCAGGCCAAGGCCAAGCTCAGACCCTGAAAAAAACACCCTTGGACCCATGGCTTCATTGCTCTTTGAGGACAGCCCAGTCATAGACGTACTTTCAGCTTGGTGTTGGATGGAACCCTCGCTAACATCGATTCGATGTGCTTCATGTTTCGTGCTTGTCTTGAAAGGCTGCATGGACTGTGTTTTAGATTGCATTGGCTCGTTTTCACTGCTTTCGTTTATCTTGCATTGGCTCGGAACGACACTCAAACCCACGAGACATAGACGGAAGACACACCGCGTTTTGATCTGAACTGGAGTACTTGGTGATGGATTTCTGATCAACGGTCGCCAGGCAGATGTGCTTCATGTTTCATGGGGTCGAAGCGACGCTTTCGATGACGCGTTTGCGAAGTAGGTGCCTACTTCATTAAGGGAGAAGTTCGCAGAACACGCCAGGGCGCAGGAGAGCTGCTAGCGCTCACACAAATGATTGGGTTCCTAGATTTTGAGGGATATTCAACTTGTGCCTGTGGTGGTGCATGTAGTGAGTGAAGTTGTGCAGCCTTGCTTGTAGATGAGCAGAAGCCGAAGCGCACGTGAGTCTTAAGTACATGTGCAAAATACAAGCAAGATCAAGTTCTCAACTTTGTAGTGGCATGACCATGAGCAAACGAAGGAGCGATGTATTGTGCTGAAGAATGATAACACTGCAGGAAAGTAGAAGAATGTGGAAAGGAAATAAGGAAAACACGGCTACCCAAGGGATCCCGACAAACGCCAGGTACCCTCGCTGTTCGCTCCTGATCACTCCGCTGCAGTTCCCGGGCCACATCCACAGAGCTGTACCTCTCCGTCACTATTTGGTGTGAACATGGTTCTTTTGAGGCTAACTCTGGGGCTAGTCTAGTCTAGTCTTACACCATTTTCACACATGAACAAATGTTGGAAAAAATCATGCAATCTGCGAAGTCAATGTGATGGTCGAGTCGGTGGCCCGTTTCTTCTTCGTGCAGCGCTTGGCTCACTGCCCTCTCACCATGCTCACGTAAGGATCCATCGCTATCAGAGATCTGGGGACCTGATAGGGCGGCATCGAACCACGGCGGCAGCACGGCGACAGCACGACTGTAAAGCACGTGCTTGACTCGTGGTGATTTTTGTAGCTTGGCCATTGGTTCATTGTTTCTACTAGCGATGGCCTCCAACCTGTATGTGTCTTTCTTCCGGATCGTTTGCATCCAGCTTTAGTCACGTTCGTCCGTCCAATCGATGTGAACCTATGTCCTGCCCAAGGATTATTGAAGCTGAGAAATGAAAGGCAGTCTGGCCTTGAAGCCGGGGCCCGACTAGATCTCCCAGTCTAAATTGCACAGCCCATATTTGGGCTTGAGACACGAGCACACCAGGAGTTTTCCATGGATTCCATCCTGCTACCGATGAAGAAACGTTGCACTGAACTCTTCATGTACCTCTCTGGGGAAGTGGATAAGGAGCAACAAAGTACCAAAAGCCGGACACGGCAAGAAAGAAAACCGCTGGTGCGCGTCCAGAATGACCCTTTCCAGCCCTTCAGCGCTCACTTTTCAGCGCTCAAATTCATCCAATGTTCTAATCTTTGATGCCCTGCTCTTCAAGAAGGCGCGCACTTCGTCGTGCTCGAACTCGGCAACATTAAGTCAATTGAGCAGATTCGAACCCAAGAAACATCTTTGCTAAATTGACAGGCTGATGTTTCTCGAGGTTATCGTTTTTCACTCGGCTGAGTGTATTAATTATCCTTTTTCAGCTAGAACCTGTATTTTGAGATCCCATGTCCATCTAATCTCCTTTCTTGTGCAGTCTTCCATCAATTTTGATCGTACCTCATGCAACATGTTAAGATGTGTGCAACTGTGTCCACAGATTTCGTTGCACCGGGCCCACTTTTACAATATCTTTGCCAACTTTTTGGCCAATATCGGCTCCAATCTGGGAACCAGCCCAGGCATATTCATAGTCTGAGAGACAAGCCAAACCCAGCTCCATCAAGAATTTCAAATAGACCTCCAGCTTTGAACAAACCCGGCAATGTTGCGGAACATGTGACCCGGACACCACGCAGCGCCGCTTTTTCAGGTGTCTCACCTGCAGCTTCTCATTGGTGCGAAGTTCCTTGAAGAAGACAGGGTAGTCTTGGTGCATAAGGATCAGCGCGCGCTTCACCTGAATGAAACAAGGAAAGCTATTTGCTCCTAGTAGCCGATCGCTCCTAGTAGCGATGCCAGGAGCCTCATTCGTAGCTTCTTGTTCCTAATAGTAAGGCCAGGAGCCCCGTTCGTAGCGTCCGATCCCTCCGCTAAGCGTCACTGATAGCGCTATTGCCCCTTCCGCAAGGATACTATGATAAGGCATCTGGGTATTTTTGTCCACAAACCTTGTGAGCGCCTGAATAAGTATCCGCCAAAAGAAGAGTCAGAATCACTACATCATCTGTCTTGAGTATGCGATCAGTTGTTGGAGCGCAAAGCTCCGCAAAAATTGAGAAAGTCACATTGATGCGTCCCATTCACGGCAACCTTTAGTAAAAGGCGAAAGATTGGTGCGCTATGAAGTGAACGCTGTGATGACTACATTGGCTTTCCTTGGCTTTCATGCCACAGAGATTCTACACGCCCCTCCATCATAGCCATTCCGTGAACATTTTGATGAAGGACTCTGCTCTGGTCAGATGAGCATGTTGATGAGCCTGTACGCATAATCTACTCAACCGCATACGCACATCTAGCTCCGTCCTCAGCTATTTGTTCGGACTCTGCTCTGGTCAAATGAGCATCTCCTAATTAGTAGCTTCACTTCAAAAGGCTCCACAGTCATGAGGGCAAAGAAGACCTAAAAATATCGGTTCGACTGCGTGGAGGGGAGCCTTGAGGTGAGAATCATCGCCTTGTCCGTTCCTCCTGTTCCTGGCCCCCTTTGGGCTACACTGACGTTCCGACGTTCACTCTGCCACGTGTCCACGCCTGAGGATCCTCAAAGACCCTCTGTACCTTCTTGTCCTGCACATCTGCCAGCGTCGCTCGAGTCGAGGATTGACCGACTCCGTCGGCCGATGCGGTCGATGCGTGAGGGAAACAGGTTGTCCAATACATTCTGTGTGGTGATCAGTGGTGATCGACTTTTCATTCTACTTGGAGGTCAAAATTCTAAATAGACAAGAATGGCCTGGCTCCAGCCCTCCATCCAGAAGCCTCCAGGAGGACTTTCTGCTCCTCGCTGACGACGCCACCTGCGCACGCCCGGAGAGACGCTCGCATAAACAGATTTGTTCCAAAAGAAGTGGGAGCGGCGCCATTCTGATGGGCAACCCTTGAACTATTCATCAAAGAACTACAGTATATAACATGAATTAACAAAAAAACATGTACGAGTAGAAGTCAGAAAACCCTTCGAGCAGGCCAGGCTCCAAAAATGTCATCTCCCAGTGCTCTAGAAAGTCTCTTGAGTTCCATGTGGTCCCATCCTTGGTCAAAGCGCAACTTGCGGCGCGCCTACGTAGGCAGCTCTTACAGCCTTTAGCGCTTCTGAGACGGTGCGATTCTCTTTGGCACCCTGTGCAGCCCATCACGAGACTTCCGGGCACGAGATTCTCAGCACGGCCCGGCTCCAAGTATTTTAAGGAGAACCGTCTTCAAAAAAACAAAAGCACAGCTGCCCTCCTCGTTTCTTCACCTGTCTTTTTGAGTGCGCCGTCAAAAGGAATTAAAGCCGCATGATGCTGCATGTACATGTATAGCAATTATTGGGACCCTATCAAGAGCAGCCAACCCTGGCAAAGCATGCCTGTCGTTCGGCTTGTCTCGCCAACTCTGTCTCATTCAGCAGGCGTTGGTCCTAATGGCGTCGAAGCCCCAAACTGAGGCGAGGCAATCGTGAAACATGTGACTCAAACAGCAACACCCGACTGTGGTTCTCTCGAGAGGAGGGAAATGCCAAGCTTAACTTCATGATCACACAAAGCAGGACCGAAATCTTAGCATCTGACGCCCACGTCAACATCAAGGTCACCCTCAAGGCCAAACAGGCGCTGGAATCTCAAGTACCTGGACAGCTTACAATAGGCGCTGGAAACCATCTGGGTGGAGGAGATTTTGTAAAAAACACTCTTCGATGAAAGAGGTTCTTTGTCGTTCGTTGTCTGTGTCCAATTCTTCTTGATGTCTCTCCTTGATCATATGTCTAATCTACATGTTCCATTCTTGAATAATAATAACAATAATAACAATAATCCATTAAGCAATGTCACTAATAATAGTATAGTATAGTATAGTATAGTATAGTATGGTATGGTATGGTATGGTATGGTATAGTATAGTATAGTATAGTATAGTATAGTATAGTATTTTATTGTATTTGCCCTTTCATTTGTAATATCTAAAAATTATATGAAAGACACGTCTGGCCTATCTCTATTGCTTTCTCAGATCAAACTAGTGCCATGTGGATGGCTTACTCCTTCCCACAGACTGTTTTTATATTACTGCAAAGCCGTCAAAAACATGTATGTATGTGTATATGTGTACCCTGCACAGCAACATGGGTTCTATCCAAATATGTAACATGTAGCAAAGGAGTGTTATTGCCTGAAGACATTGTGTGGGCTGGAGATGCAGCTGCACAATGATATGGACCAGCGAACAGCACAGGGTGGAACCGCTCTCTTGACCGACCTAAACATGATGCTACCTGTGAATCCATTCTCCATTTTCTATATTTAGATTCTCTGAACGCCTCAGCGATTGACCAGCGGGAGTCCATCCTACCGCCCCAAACTCGTCTAGGGCAATCAACCTGGCAACGTTCATAGAGGGCACTCTATGGTGTCAGAGTCTGAGCCAGGCTCATTCCAGTTGATGGTCTCTGGAAGCTTCAACCTCGCCAACACTGCAGTCTTGTTGGAGATCTCCTACTTTGGTAGCTTTTTTTCTGCATTACTCAGCCATGTTGTATGAGCTTGATAGCCCTTCTACACAGAAACGCGGTCGAGAAGCGTCTTTGGCATCAAAGACAGTTGCTCCCGGTTGACATACACGGCGTCCTGCGCATGCAATTTATCCGTCGAAGCTCATTCCAAGAGACAGGCTCGGGGGGCTTCCGTGTGGAGCACAAAAAGAAAAGTTCGCCTTTAATGGAAAAAGACGCGTTATGAAAATTGGTCGGAGTGTACAAATATGAGATGCGCGGCGGAAAACTAATATTAAAAAATAGAACAACAAAAAAAGAGGGCGCATGAAAGTTGTCGCAGAATTCACCTCCACAAATTGTCTGCAAACGCATGCAAGCTACGAAGACACATGCAAGCCGGAGCTGCAACCTATGGTCTCTCATGCTAGGAATGTAAGTAAGGAGCGGAGCGAAAGGAAGAAAGGAATGCTGAAAATGTCGACACGACCCTGTGTAGAAGAACCCATTCCACACAAAAACTATCTGCCGCAAGGGCCACCACGTGAAGCCCGAACAACGCAGTAAACGCAAGGATTAATTAAAGGAACCCCTCCATAACAAACACAAGCACCTAGCAGGCAAACAATTCTCGGCTGGCAACAGCTTTCCACAACCTGACACCTTAGGAAGCCAAATGGGGCAATCTTCTTCATTCGCTAGCAGCTGGATGTACTGCAGGTGATAAACATGGTAGGGTTAGGGTTAGGGTCTGCTGGCAAGCCACCAGCCAGACATGGAAGGATGTCAGATAATACATATATATATATACATATATATATATATACTGTAAGTGCAGCAGAGCAGCAGTGCCGCTGACTCTCAAAAGGCGGGCACAGCATGGCACGGCAACCAGCATCAGCCCGAAGCACTTAAAACGCAGTGGCACCCCTGCAAACTGGTGCTGGCTTAAACTGCTTCTTTCTGTTGGCAAAGATTGTCGTGCCTTTCCCAAGACGGCCACCTTTGCAAAGCCCAAGGGCAGAAGGAGGCTATCCATCGCCTCATGCAACAAATCAGCCAGAATCTCTCACTTGCCTCAACCAAATGTGTATGTATCACTGTGTCACCAGTGTTCTATGTCCTCGTTTCAGGACAAACTTGTGCCTTCTTCTTCTTCTTCTTCTTCTTCTTCTTCTCCCTCACTGCCTCCCCTCTCCCTCTCTCTCTCCCTCTATCTCCATCTCCCCTTCAGGCCCTCTACTTTATGCTGCACAAATCTCTGTCCAAAAGAAAGTCAGGATCAGGAAGTGAGGAAGCCGCAACGAGGCTATCGCTCAAAGCCATCACTTCGGCATTTCTGTTGAGGGGTTGATCCCATCAAGCAAAGCAAGCTGCTGGATGCACTTCAACCTCTCTGAGCAGCCAGCCATGGATGTTCTCCTCACAGAAATCACATGGCTAGGACCCCACATCAAGCAGACAGCCATAGCTAGGATGGATGGATCTGATCTGGACGAGTCACTTCAAGTCCATCCTAGCCATGTATTTTGGGCAAATCTGATCCCAGCGCATTGGCGACCGGCCAAGTGATGTGGACAGTGTCTGGTTTACTTCTTGCCTTTTGAGATCGTCTCCAAGAAGACCGGTGTAAACCAATGCGCCGTTGGCAGAAAACTCTGTTGTTGCTTGGGGTGAACCTGGCTTTTGGCCTTCAAATTGTCCCAGCTCAGCACGCTAATCTAAAGCATGAAAATGGGGGTGATATATAGATCCAATAGACCGCACCATGCCGTGGGTACATAGCATACATGCCAGGTACATACCCTGCCAGGTGCAGATATACAGTAGCAGGTGCATGCCAAACGTGTCAGCTACATAAAGCAACCTTTGGCAGTGAGCCAGAGGCTTTGGATGCCATTTTCTGTGGCGACACCGAGCCCGGGCTGAGAGGGGCATTCCAGGGGTGCAATAGACAGGTTTGCCAAAGACAGGTTTCAGGCGAGAGATAGAGGTAGACTTCCTGACGCAAAAGTCAGAAAGCAACGTTTGCCACTGGACGAGAGGCTTTGGGGGCCATTTGCTTCGGTGGAATTTGATTGGGAAATAGTGTGGCGACACCGGTTGAGGGCGTGGCGTGGCGAGGCCAGGCAGAGCGCCGTTTCAGTGCTAGAGTCTGAGTCACCACCACCACCAGCACCACCACCACCACCACCACATCCACCACCACCCTTATGGCATCGCCGGTGTGCAAGGCTCTACCTAATATAGCAGGTACATACTGGTGTCCACCACAGAACCCCACAGAGATCCATGTTTCGACTCCCGTCCTGCTGGTCTCCACCACGATGCAGCGAAGGTCCCAGGCCTGGACACGGAGGGTAGCGTACCCGGAGGGCGGTGTGCGCTGTCGGTGAACATTTATTCAGGAGGGGTTCAGATCAGTTCACAAAAAGGTCAGAAGTTCGCGGAATTTTACAGTACATGTCCAAAGATTGAAAGAATGTGTGTTTTGGATTTCCAAAGAAATGGGATTTATATATATATATACTGTAACTCAATGAAAAGGACAACTTCTCACATCACATCTCACAATCGCCTTTTTTCTGAGATTCGTGAGACCAATTGTCTCACCACGGGTGAAAAGCACAGCCCGTTCGCCAAGTCAGAGATTCCTTCAAACCTTGTTTCAAGGAAATCGTGTTCATCTAAGCTGCCTGGATGAACTATGCTCCAACCTAGCACTTGAAGCTTCGTTGGGCCATATATGACTTCGAAACAGGCATGCTATGTCCAGGCCGCGCCCTTCGGCTGCCTGCCCTATCAATCACAGGGACCGCAGCAAAGAGCGGCCACGAAGCTGCAGCTGGCAGCTTCTCTGCTTCTCCGTAAGACGAGATTCTCATCGCTGAGTGTCTCGAAAACGGTGTCGAAATCGATCGAAACAGAGACGTCTCAGCTCAAGTCAGCTCAAACCACCAGCTCCTGACCAAGAAGTCAGCTCAAATGATTTGAGCTATAATGACAACTCAAATCACCAATATCTCAGCAGAACTCTTGACTTCTGATCTTGGGAGAGTCGAAATGGGGGCCTTTTGCACCTATGGCATGGGATCAATCCCATGCATCAAGTCACTTGCCCTTGCCCTTCCCATCGTAGCATCAGTCCATCCCACCTCCTCGATGCCACAGTCGCCGCTGTCAGAGGCACTTGGTCCACCACCCACCGCTGGGTGCTGAGCTTTGGTGAGCAAGGTCATGTCCTCGCAACGCAGCCGCAGCCGCCGGCAGCCGCCGCGTGCCGCGTGCCGCGTGCCGCGTGCCGCGTGGGCCGAAGACATGTCGCAGCGGAACGAGAGCCGGACTCACAGGGGGTTGGCGCTGCCCTTCAGTGATAGGGCACGGCGCCCTGCCCTTTTTGGGTGATCGAAGAAAACCCTAAGCGATGGGGTGGTCGAAAAAGAGGAGGGGCCGGTATGCCTGTCAACTGTGAAGATGCTGCAAGCGAGGCACTTTGTTGTGAACGCCTTCAATGCGTCGAAGAAAGTGGCTTGGAAGTGACTGTGATTGATGGCCACTGTGCTTGGATCCCCTGCGAAATGTCCCCACTCACCTCAGAGACTTCTAGTCCTGCTCACTCAGCTCGAAGTCAAAAATCTCGCTATTCTCCTGGCATATGTTCAAAGAATCGACTTTAACTTGTGTTCCGACCGGAGAACGTCATCTCGCACTCGCGTGGAAGTTGTTCGATGTGTTTTCGATGTGTTTTCTCGCACTCGCGCGAATGAGCGACGTGGATGAAACAGATCAGCCTTCATGTGATCTGGAACATGGCTCTTGGGAATCACTGGGATGCCCTGGCAGAACATCGCAGTTGCGCAGTTGCATCGGCCGTGGGTCTATGGGTCTGTGGGTCAAAAGAGAGTAGCTGGAAGATGAGCAAGGAGTTGCCAAACACTCTACTCATTTGTTCATAGCGTTTCGTTCTCACACAACCCTAAACCGTTCTGACACTTCAGACTGCAACACGCTTGCAGTGCAAGAAGGTTGTGTTCCTTCCCTTTCAAGCAACTTGCAACACATCTGTGCCTGTTGAACCAGCCAGCGCAATGCAACCTGCAGGTTGGGCTTTGGAGAAAAATGACAAGTGTAGCACCGAGTCGTTGGAGGTCTACTTCACTCTCCGGAGCTGATTGAAACATCGAAACGCAGCGATGACATGCATGGCCCTCTCTCCCGCCAATCAGCCAATCAGCCAAACAAACACACCCACGCAGCCATTGGGCCAACGCCTGAGGTCCTGTTTTCTTGTACTTCTTCCCAATGCCAGTGACCAGGGCACCTGTCAAGAGCTCCTGAAACGGGAAGGAGTCCGCTTCGGAGTCCAAGGAGCGGAGTGCCCCTTTCAACGTGGAGCTGAAGAGAACGCCAGGCTAGGCCGGCCCGGAGGCTGAACCGTTAGCGGGTCCGAGCGGGTCCTTGTTGTCGGGTGGGTTACACGGGCCACAGAGAGGCGAGAAGGACTGGTAGAGGACGCCCTTCTGCCGCCTCCAGTCGGACGGATCGAACCAGATCGGACGTCCCAATGTCCGGTCCGGAGTGGTGTTCGTCGATCAGGGCATGGTCTTGCAAGGTTCAATTGAGAGACCCCTCCCTTTTCTGAATGCCTGGACTTTCCGGTTTGGACTGGTTTTGCTGACCCACAAAAGAAGCGTTTGGAGTTTGGATGCAAAAAGGCCTTGCTCATCGAAGGGAACTGCCATGAAGTTTGCATTTGCTTTGTGCAAATGCTTAAGACACCTCAAATTAGTGCAGTACTAGTGCAGTACCAAGCAACATGTAGTCCCTGTCATCCGTGGCCTTGAACAGACGCGAGCAGCCTACGCTGTGGATCTCTGCCCCACATGGTGTTTCTCCGACTGTTTCTTGGAGGCCTCCACAAGGCCTCCACGTCGGTACCTTGCGACATGGACCAACGAAGCTACCTTCCCCTGTGGCCCTGTTCGCCCTTCTGAGGCCAAGGCCATGCGACCGGCACTGCCCATACCCACATGGTATTGAACCTGCCACATGGAGCTCGGGCTTCTGCCACAAGAGTCTCGGCATCACTGCATCTCATTGAATCTCTCCTAATGAGAAGCATTCGTACAAGGAGGATTGAGTGCTTTTTGACTGCTATCTAAAGCACCCCACCTTAGATTTTGGTTTGACCAAGCAGAAGAGTAAGATTAAGGAGTTCAATCGGCTGGAGACCAAACCATCACGCCCTTCAGTTTAAAATTAAAGAAATCTACTCATGGAGATCCGTCCCAAATACTTGTTGGCACGTTGCAAGTTTCCTCGGTCTTCAAGCAGCACATAGGTCGAAACGCAGAGTCCGCAAGCTCCACACATCTCAACACAGCCTGTCCTTCGCGACGAAGCTCCACCTGGCTTTCTAGTGGGACGTCACAGGTCACGCTGCACGCATACGCAGGCGCCTGAAAACAGGCGCCCAGAGTGGCTGAAAACCTCGGCAGGGAGCTTCTCCTGAAACCCCTTCAGGTTCTCAACAGCTGAAGTTGTAGTGCTGAGAGAAGCAGAGCCACTGGGCCTTGGAATGAGACTCAGAGACGCTGGCGCCGGCACCACGATGAAAAGCGCCACGATGAAGCAACGAACGAAGTCCAGATGCTCTGCTCCACGAAGAAAACATGCGCGCATGCACAAAGGGTTGCCCCAAGAAACATGGTGGCAAGGGTATAGAACAGTAGAAAAGGAAGTAGTAAGTAGGCACAGAAATGTCCACACATGCGGAATCATCTAGCTTCATTTCTAGGGGTCGTAGGTGGGAGATTGATGCAGCTTGCCCCTTAGCCTGTGGATCTCATCATGACATTTCTGCAAGAAAGTCTCGGGTGCGTCCGCACAAGTGCCGCAGCACCGTTGTGGTTTGCAGGAACGCTGAAGTGCCGAAGTGCTGAACAGCGACACCGCCAAGTCGAGACCCGTTTTCGTATCCCACCGTGGCATTTGGTCGGGCAGCCACACGACCCAACCGGTCAAGAACGGAAGATCAGCACCGTTGCTGGCCGGCTGACATGCAAAGGAAGTGTGTGGGACAAATGCACAGGAAGTCTGTGGGACGAAGCTGGGGTGTCCACCCGATACGTCACGAGTGTCATGAGAAAAATGCCTAGGGCCTAGTAGCGTCCTTGCTCCTAGAAGCGATGCCAGGAGCCCCTAGTAGCGTCCTTGCTTTTAGGCAGGACACCGGATACGTCACGAGTTTCATGAGAAAAAGGTATGTTCAGTTGATCTTCCACTCAGTTCCTAGTCACTAGTTCTTTGATTATACTTACCAAAACTAAGTGCTCTGTCTCACTCCCCTAGACGAACTGGAACACGAGTGCATACCACACATCATGGCTGAGAATGTATGGCTGATCGGATGATCCGGCTGGTCTCTTCCCCCACACGGACGCCACAGCTTCTGCTTTTGTGGCGTCTCCGCGCCTGGTTCACGGCCACCGGCACATGGGCCACCTCCACGTGGTGAAAAGGTGTTCGAAAGGTCCAACGCACATGTTCGATGGATGTTCAAAAAATGAAGGATTTCTTCGGAAATAGTGAAATATGTGTAGATGGCAAACTTTGGGAGGAGCTGAAGAGCTGCAGTGGTGAGCATGTTCAAGTCTCAGGCATACATTGCAGAGAGTCCCAAGTCATGTCCATCTCCCAACATGACTAAACACCTGTACATAAACAAATAATTTGGTGTCCAAAAAGATTGCACCTCACAAGATGAGAATGATGAGAAGAGCTGAAACTACATGACCTAGGGGATATATGTATATAACAAGACAAACGGATGAGCAAACAAATACGGTAAGCTGAGCTGAGTTGAGCAAAGCTGAGATGACTTAGTGAATCACCGGCTGAGCTAAAGCAAATAAGCTGAGACGAAGGTATCCAAAGATCCACTGACATGCCATTTATGGCATGAGCGTCGTTTTCAAGTGACACGCTTCGTGCAAAGTGGAGTGAATAATGGTGGTGAGCGTGTGTGTGTGTGTAAATATATAATACATAATATAGCATTCCTTGGCATCGATCGATACGGTCAAAAAAGTCTACCAAAAAAAAGAACAAAGAAAGAACATGTGTTTAAAAACAGCTTATCTTCAGAAGAACAGTGATCATCAGAACTGTGAAGTTGCAGTGATCATCAGAACGTTTGCCAGATCACAGCAACTCATCTCGCCTCCAGAATATCATCCAACTGCCGCCGGCAGAAGTGCGAGATTCCAATCGCACGGGCCTCACAGCAAAGCCTTAAAACCAAGATATTCTTATAGACTAGACCGTTTCAGAAGCCTCTAATTTCTTGAAGGCTCACATGCACAAGAGCAAAAAGCGTTGAAAAAGCCACACACCCGACATTTGTTCAACACAAAGATAAGACACAGGAAACCTCTCGGGAACCTCTCAGATCAACGAGCTGGTGTGATCTTTTTGGTTGCGTAACTGCCCATAGAACCAGAATGAACCAGATGTGCCAAAAAGGACCAACCTGCTGCACGACTCCTACCCCGAAATCGTCCGAGCTAGCCTTGCCACTCTTTGCCCAGGCTTCCAAGGCCGTCCACTCCACTTGCCTCTCCTGCAAGCTACAAACATCCATGGTTGGGTGGGATCGTAGCTGGCGCCTGCCCAAGGCTTGGCCAAATAGAACTTGTCGATGTGGGTGTGTCGTCCAATCGGGGGAGACCCCTCGACCGGTGGAAATCGACCTCTCGACCCATCGGGCCCAGTCCGACAGGGCCGGACCGAACAGATCCACGCGGATCCGCCCCCAAGCAGACAAGTTCTCGTTGGAACCGGAAAAAGACACCCAACAGCCTAGGGACGGTTCCACTAAAGAAGCAGACACCCAAGGGATCCCAAGGGACGAGATTGACTTTTGAGACCTCTCGAGGCCCCAACGACAGACTCTGCATGACTCTGCAACAACAGGTCTTTATGGCGCAACAACTGCAACAACTGCGGAGTGAGTTGTTTGCAAAAGTTCCATTGGGTTGCACGATACTGCCAGCAACCATGCTCTGAGCTGCTCAATCAAGGTTTCTACTTAGATTGCCCATGCCAAATTGGCCCTGTTCAGCAAATGGTGAACCAGCCGGACAAAGCTCTTTAAACTGCTTGTGACTAGAGCCTGCTCCTACTCAGCTCCTTCGTGTCCTCGTGGAAAGTCTGAGATCGAGCTGCAGTCTACCATCCGATGATGAAGACGTTCGTCGCCGGTGCCAATAAGGAGTTCAGAGCTTTGGCAAAAAACGGGTTCTCAAGCCGGCGCCACCATCAGTCAGCGAGAAAATGCACCTCCATCTTCTCCAGCCTCGGTCCTTCACCTTCTCCAGCCTCGGTCCTTCCTTCTTCGTCTTGGTCCTCCTGACCTTCCAGACCCGACTGAGACCCAAACTGACCGATCTTCCCAGTTGCCTTCGCGAGTGAAATCCTCTCCCGCCCACGTCTTCGTCGCCACAAGGTTCGCTGGAGGGCTTCTCATGAGCTTCTACTGTATTAAGAACTCGAAGCACAAAGAGATACCAACTGGTGCAGGAGGGACATTGTAAATCTTGAGGACACTTGTGTTAGGGCGCATTGGGGCACACTTTGTGCGACAAAGGCATGTAAAGTTAAGTGTTGCAATCCCTCGCAGTGAATGCTGCACGAACAGCCTTCACTTGTGTTCGGCTGTCCTTCTTGGAGCCGTTCTTGCCAAAGTCAGCTGGGAAGTGGATCAGCATCAAGTCTACCTCAGTCAATCAAAGGCCAGTTCTCAACGTTTTGTCAGATCCAGTTCTTACGGATCCAATTGCTTTCCATCTAGCCCTCTTACCAGCCCGTTGAATCTTGAAGATCGATGGATGATCCTTGGGACTGGCTGTTCGTTGTCTGTTGGATCCACGGATGATGCCACTGGTCTGAAGGAACTGGTCTGGCCTCTGGCTCTAACTCTGCGGCCAATCTCATTGTGTGTTTCAATCAGTCAAGAGCACCAGTTTGTTCCATGTATGGAGTGCTGAGTTCATTGATCTATGGTTGTATAGCATAGCAAAATTGAAATGTTTGCTTGTCAGCTGCATAATCTACGCCCAGCTCCTTCAAGCAAGAGTCCTCAGCTTTGACTTCCAGAAGAGGGCTGATCAGAAAAGTTTGACGACATGCAAAGATGAAGCAAAGTCCGTCAGCCGTATCATGCGTGCACTGCAGCGACCTCAGCAAAGATTCTCGGCCCCTGATAGCAACACCCCGAGACTAAACGAAGAGTCCTTGCACCTTTGACTTCTCGTGTCTATGTCAGCCAAGCGTCCGCAGCCGCCGCCGTGGCAGATGCGTTGAGGCCTATGGGACAGCAAACAGTTTGTGGGGACGAGTGGAGATTGGAAGTAACTCCCTTTTTCTGCAAATGCAGTAGGGTTTCGTGACTTGACTCAGTGATTCTGTCAATGGAACCCGAACAGTGCAGTCACCAGCCTTACCGGCTTCAGTGTAGATCGTCAGCAAGCTTGGAATACACGTGTGGACAGGAGTTATCATTCATACTCATTCATGCCAACTGCCTGGCCAAAAGTGGGGATGATCGACTGGGGTCTTTTCAATATCTCTTTAGCCAAGCGGATTTGGTCCATGGCTACAGAACAAAATCTGACTAACCTGACCTTTGGTCGCCACAGTGCAGTTGTAAAGTTCTTCCCCAGAATCATAGCCTACGTTTGATCGAAACACCTTCATCCTGGTTTTCTGTGACATGCAAACCTTATTTAAATACCAAGGGGAACCAGCTGGCCCAACGGGAGACGTGTTTTTTGTGCTGTTTGTGGACTGATGAACTCCCATGGACTCCGATGAAGAACTCTTCGCACCTCCAGGAATCTTTGATGTGATGAAGAACTCTTGGCGCTTCAGCTTCAGCTCTGCGAGTGCCTCTTCGGTTCTTCGCTTCAGCTTCAGGCAGCGGAGAAGAACCGAATCATTCACTGGGAACCTATCAACTAAAGCTAAGCTCTGCGTTCAATTGCAAGACGTTCGGGTTCACTCAGAATTCTGATTGAACCGAAAGCACGGCGTGCAGGCCCGTGCAGGCCCTGGCCTCACCCACACCCACTTGGTTCTGGTACGCAGCCGCTGTGTCCACGTGCCTGAAGAAGGCAACCATCGAACCATGGCTACTATAGTTGACCATAAAAGCGCTAACAGCGAGCTTGCAGATGCAAAAGCATCAGCCAACTGAAGCACCGTCTGTTTCCCCCCCCACTTGTCTAGCTCCAACGTCGCAAAGATCTGGACGATGGACACTTCAGTGACTCATCACCAGCATGGACACTGACAAACAAGTACAATCAGGCTCTACCCTCCCTGCTACAAACATGCAAGTGGACGAGTACATACCTTTTTTGTCGGTGACCAGTGGCCGCGCTGGCACTTTGCAACTGGCGTAAGTGGCCCTGGCACGCCTGTATCCCAAACCGAAGGCCGAAACCACCGCGCTCTTCGCCACACTGTTGTTGTACCTGGGTCGGCAGACCAGAGAACACACAACGGTAGGGCCTCGTGAAAACCTCGCATTTGTGGCGTCCATGTGGCGTCCATCTTGCTCAGCTTTCACCCACACCCTCCCACAGCCAAACGCCACAAAGCCACTGCCAAGTGCCAATGCCCAGGAGGGGCATTTGCACCTCGCCATCCACACCCTTGATGGTCACCGCCTTATTCGATCCATGATGGAACGAACCAGTTCGGAATGCACTGGCCTTGCTCTTTCCACATTGTCAAGGAAGCCCACCTTGTACCTTTCTGATACAGAGACACCATGAGACACCATATGTGTATACTTCTTTGTTGAGATGCGTTTGGATGTAGAGGTCAACAACATCCTGACACTGACTAGAATATGTTCTTTGTCTTGGCCCCGGGCTGGCTGTGCGGCTGGTGGGCCTGCAAAAGGACTTTCGTGGCGAGAAAACCGGATCAGCATCGATCATGCCGTGATCGAGATGAGGCTCTGACTACCGCATATTCAGGAAGCTAATGATTTCTGGCTGCGCAGACAACCAGCTTGAAAATGGCACCCTTCTGTTCCAGGGTCCCTCAAAGTCTGTGGAGCCAAAACAAAAAAGCTGCTGTACAAAAGGCGTGGGTGGAGCTCTATTGCGCTGCCTGAGAGCCCGCTGGCAGGCCATAGGCACAAAGCAGCCCAAAGCAGCCTGTGGATCAATGAAATCCTGTGGGTGTTCAGGCTTTTAGTCTAATATGTGCAATCCAAGGTCAACCCCAGTGCCGTAAGTGGCTTCCTATTTGGGCTCAAGCACTTGGCTCAATTATTTCTTCCCTGAACCCGAATTCATCACCGAAACCGGTGCAGCTAGCGGCTAAGCCCCAGAAGCGAGTGAAGTCAAAAAGCCTGATGGTAGGTCCTCAACAAGCATATCACTAGAGATGGTGGTATATAAAAGACTTTAGAAATGATCCTGTGAAGTCCGCCAGTCATCGCGAAGCAACTCAAGTCCAACAAAAGCTGGCAGATACGTAACATACTGGAAAAACACCAGCATCAACACTGAAGAAGGACGCTGATGGACGCTGATTCGTCATGAAAGACGCCATCGATGACATTCAGCCAGGTTGCATCATTGGACAAGTCCTTGGATTGTTGTGAACACGTTAGACTGAGAGCCGAAATGGCCAAGCAGCGGCGGAAACATCTCACAATTGAACAGGGTCGACTCAAAACTGGCATCGAGTCAAGCTTGGATCGGCGTTGAAGCAGATGTTGCAAGGACCGAGTGTCGGTACCTGTTGAAGGTACGAAATGGTCAAAGCGCTTCGCCTTCCATTTATCTACATCGGCATCCAAGTCCCGCGGCCTCAAAGGGAAAGTCCTTGAAGATTTCAAGCTCTGCACCCTGAAACGGCGTTTTCAGTGATGGAAATATGTTTGCGCGTTTGGACTGCAGGACTTTTTGGACAAACCAAAACTTACACCGACACCAAAAAAAACAAAGCACTCAAGTTAAAGACCAGGCTTTCTCCGTTCTTCCACCGTGAGAATCGCTTTCCCAAGCGGCCTCTGCGTCAACTGACCTGGAAGATCACTTGAGCAGAAAATATTGGTGTTTAAAACCAGAGAGGTTCAAGTCTCTGGAAAGAAACATGTGGCTGGGCCCCTGCACATCATCTAGACTCTCGATGAATAAAGCCCCCACGTGGATTGAAAACCCATGAAATACCCTCTTCAGACTGCGAGGGGCAGTACTTTTGAAATATCATCCATCCGTCCATCACATGACATGAAGTTGTTTCAAGACGAGGGACGAGAATTTTGGCTCGGTGTGTGCGTGTGCGACCCTTGAAATCACAGGGATCCTTTGGGAATGTACTGTTTGCTTGTTACTTCGGTTGACAGCAGGGGGATGGAGAGGACGCATGAGGCTCCATCCAACGAAGCTCCTCATACGATCCTAGGATATCATCAGGGACGCCTGATGACGTACCTGCAGTTTTACTTGAGAAATTTCATCGTGGGCCCTGCTTGTAACTAGAACAAGAATTGGAGCCATTGCATCTGTTTGCATCGGCAGTTCACGCGTTTGCTTGTGCCTTGGAGAGTGAGCTTTGAAGGGTCTGAGCTTGAAGGAGTTGTAGGTTTCTTGTGGTGTTTTACCTGGACCCTTAGGTTTTTCACTTAGGCTGGCGTGTGGCATCGATGTCAAGTCCGTATGCATTTCTATAAGTGTGTCTCTCTCCTAGTGAGAGCCCAGGGTGACCCCGAAGAGTGGCCCGTGTGGACCCGGGCGTTAGTCTTTATCTCCCCTGCCCGGAGATGTATGTGCCCAGAGCGGGCGAAGGTGGCCCAGGCCGAGAAAACTCAGATTTCTGTCGAATTCTTGAATTCCAAGCTGGCTCATGCCCTTACGTGACCGCAGCGGTCAAACCAGCCAGCCACTTTGGCAGGGCACAAGGTGACTACAGCGGTCAAAGTATTTTTGAGGTTCTTGGAACCTGTCGGATGCTTGGGTGCACACACAGCGTACACACTTTAACGAGGCAAGGTCTACCTAGGTGTTTTAATGAGGCTTGGTTTCGTGGGCTTCTGTCCCCTTCAATTGGTTCCCCTTTCATCCTTTTCCCCTTCACACACATCTTTTCTCCTCTTTTCTTTCATGTCCTCCTGTCTTCATGTCTTTCATCTCATCCTTCCTTTCGTTTGCGCGCACATCGGTCCCGGCCTTAGCGTGTACGCGCACAACTACACGTACTTTAAACTCAGGCTTTAGGTGGCCCAGGTTTTTATAATGAGGTGGGTTTCATTGTTTGTCCCTGTGCACTTGGTTCCCCTTTCATCACAACCACATTCACTTTTGCCCCGTCCCGTCCTCTTGTCATGTCTTCATTCTTCTTGTTTGCGTGTGTGACCCTTGAAATCACAGGGATCCTTTTGGAATGTACTGCTTGCTTTTTACTTCGGTTGACAGCAGGGGATGCAGAGGACGTATGAGGCTCCATCCAACGAAGCTCCTCATACGATCCTAGGATATCATCAGGGACGCCTGATGACGTATCTGCAGTTTTACTTGAGAAATTTCATCGTGGGCCCTGCTTGTAACTA